TGTGTGTGTGTGTGTGTGTGTGTGTGTGTGTGTGTGTGTGTGTGGGTGGTCCAGGTTTTACTCATGTTGTGCGGGGCTAAATCTGTTCACACAGTCACATTAGAGGGACTTATCTTCCTTATGGAGACAAAAAGCAAGTCCCCATAATGTTAATTATGTCATTAAATTTAACGTGAAGATGTGTTTTAAGGTTAGGTTAAGGGTTAGAGTGAGAAAGTAGTAGTTATGGTTAAGGTGAAAGCAAGTCACCCAGAAATTAATGTAAGTCAATGTAATGTCCTCTGAAGTCATGGAGATGCGACTGCATGTGTGTGTGTGCACGTTTGAATCGGAGAAAACTTCTTTCTGCACCTGCAAATGATCATACTTTAGTGGTATGGTACTGTCAAGTCAACTACTGTTTTCTTTGTTTATGCGCAGGCCACCCTGATTATTAATAGTTGTATGTGAATGTAGGATTTTGACAGCACTGCCTTCTGCCAGTGTTCGACATATAGATCTACATGCTAACAACCTGCTGTGATTAGCTTTCAGTCAGTGTTTTTTTGCAACAAATGCCTATAATAAAAATATAATAAATAATATAGTAAAAATGATTTTGAGTGAAAAATTTGTGAGTGAAGTTAAGATCAGCAACCTGTACTACACTGTAGCAGAAACAAAAAAAAAAAGAAAATTCTTCTATAAAGCTCAGACTACAGAAATCAATGCTCATAGAACAGAGTTAGATTCTTTGTCTGTCGGAGCAGCCGCTGAAAAGCCACTCTCATCTCCAGCTGTGATAAGACAACCCACAACTCAGAATCTGTGAGACCTCAGGTTTGTGCAGAACGCTTACATTTACACAGCTCACATGGGATTTAGTGCAGAGAGGGTCATAGTGAAGAGTTGGACTGTTACCAGTGTAGACATGCCTGTTTTACCTGTCAGAGGCAAAAAGGCATATTTTATTTTTTTTCTTATAATTGGAGAAATATCTCTAAAGGGCAATACACAGAAACATAATTAAGCTCAAAACCTCCTCAAGATAACAAGGTAATGAGTGTAATGACATTCGTTAAATGTTTCTTTTTTTCCCATCTCATTTTTCACCATTAAATTAGATTCATTAGTGAGTCATACTAAAGTTTTTTAGTAATGTAAACAAGAAACTGATGCAATATTGATATGGGAAATATTAATATTTTTTAGAGATGAGCAATAAAATGGAGGAAGTGAGCTTACTTTCATTAATTGTAGAGTTGTACACAATAACAGGCTTTTCTACAATAGTGAAATCTGCCTTTACCCATAGCCATTTAATGTACAAAAATGCAGTACAGCTTTTGTATGGCTATCAAAACACAGGACACAGGACAAGGTGGACAATGACTGAATATACACAGAAACTTAAACTTAAATTAATGACATTATTTAAATTTACAGTCTCATATATATAATCACCTAGTAAATGTTAAGCAACCAAGACAGTATTTTTATGAGCTGAGAGCTGACATTTCTCTCCAAAAGGCACCTCAGATACAAATATTCCTGTCCCATTTCAATTGAAATCATTGAGAATAGATTTGTTAAAGAGATGGAGCTGTGCATCCTGTTGTCTTTCCTAAGGGGAATGGTTTATCTGAGGTATACAGACATATGTGATGGAAATCCTGTAAGCTGATGGAAGAAAGTTTGGGAGACCCTGTATATCTGTTCTACTTGGAGAAAACTTTTTGACCTTGTGACACTAAGACAAAGCTCTTTGTTATGGCTGTTTAGTCCCACCACCGGAGACTTAACTTATCATCCTCTACGCATAGGGTCTATGCTATGACCTTGGTTGCTATGGGAACTGGCTAGCTGAATGCTATGTCTTCTCAGCCATCTTAGAGACAAAGAATTGCTGTGTCCCAATTCCGGGGCTGCATCCTTCGGAGGCTGCATTTGAAGATTGATTGTGTCACAGCGGCACGACTAGGCTGTCCCATTTCAAAGACTCCATCAAACGTGGCCTTCTTTTCCGGGGAAATGGAGGCTCCAACGGGTGGATCCTTTGTGGCCCAACCTATCCCAAGATTCATTGCATGTTGGTCATGAAAATAATATGGCAGCAAACAAGGCTGACAGAGAGTCAGAGGATAACACTTTTAAATGTAATTATTGGGTTTCAGCGCAGTTGAACAGCTAATGCTCTAACTGTTAAAAATCCAAGAGCCTTAAAAGTAAAAAAAAAAGTTACGTATCGTTGACACCGTCTCATTTCAGTGCGGTCTCCACGGTCTTTGACAGCTACAAAGGCCACGTCTTCATGGACCACGTCCTCAGAAGGATGTGGCCACTGAATTGGAACCCAGCTCATGATTTTAGGGCCGACTTCTAAATGACCTGTGGACTCTAATGCCCAATACTGTTTAAAGACCCAGAAAAGGAATAATCGTTAAAGAAGGAAAAGCCCCTTCACAACATACAGCATGACTATGTTTTTAAAGTGTGTAAGTCAAAGTGTGACACACCATTAATGATGACTGTGTGATGTCAGGTCAGTGGCCTTACCGTTTGATACTGGCTGATCCTCGCACTGCTCTCAGCTCTAATAACTAGCAGATGAGGATGATGGCTACAATGTTTGTCGGATTCTTTCAGAACATTCAAGAAATACATTTGCAAAATGACATTTTTTATTTGTTTATATATTCTTTTCAATTAACCTTGAATTTACCTCAGAGAATGTCCTTATTATCAATCCATTACAGTAATATACTAAAAAAAATTCTCATACCCATCCACCCCATGTTTCATTCTAGATAAAATTTTCTCAAATGAGCCGAACATGCCCTGAATGAGTAATCCATTCATAAAATGATGGCTCCCTTGGAGTCTTCCAGCTCCATTATACAAGTCTGGTGCAACAGTCTGCCACAAGGATTGAAATCAAAATTATTCGAAAGATCACAAATGCAAATAAATTTGTGGACTTTCCTCCTATAGAGTTGTACCAAAGGGCATGCCTGAAGTATATTCATGAATTCAGGTTCAACGGTCCGCATTTTCTCTGAGCTACAGTTGAGACGTCTTTGTGCGACTGCAATAAAAACAACTTAATGTTTTAAACTGATCTAAATATAAAGTCAAGTATTTGATATTCTTAGCATCCCAATCTCCATCTGCAAATGAGTACCCCAGATCCTTCTCCCATATCTCCTAAAGAGCTTCAAATTTGAGTAGGGATAAATAATTGAATAATAGGCTGAAGCCTCATGTCCTGTACACTTGTAATTTTGGCGAGTAAGTCATATTCATGAGGTAATGTTCAGTCTGACTTTAAAATCAAATCTAAAAGATGCTTTAGTTGTAGATGTTGACAGAAATTGACTCTGGTGCAGGGAAACTCGACTGAATGAGCCAAGTTTCTCCTTCAAAAAAGATCCTCCTAGAACTTCTATATCAACCCAAACTTTCCAAAGAAATGGATTTTTGTCTATCCTCAGTGCAGGTACTGGATTGTATATTAAGATGTAAATTGTTCTTAGCAGCCTTAGATACTGTATTGCAGACAGCTTGTAGGTGTTACGTAACGGTTAGACAAATCTAAGGAATAATTGATTGATAAAAAGGCAACAGGATATAGGGGGCCCCATTCACATTCATACCAAGGGAGAGCCCTTTCTGGTGGAAGTGTCCATTTTGATCTATCCTAGACCTCCTTGTCAATTTAGACCTGGATCTTCTCCAAACACAACCTTAGACATTTCCCACTCCACAACAGAAAATGTTTTAAGACCTTATGATGATGTGAATTGGCAGAGGTTGAAGTAAATAATTCACTTAGTTAAGCAATCCATTTGAAGGACATTAACCCATAATGATAATAACGACCACAGTATCTCTTTTTTGAGAAGGGTTAACATTTTTTTCACATTTTGTTTATCTTATTGATGCCCAGTTATGACAGTCCTTCTACAGTTCTTCTACAGGTCATTGAACTGACCCCACTCAAAATAAATGTTTACGACAGTACGGCTTTAGACTTAGACCAGTTCACTCTGTAGCTCCACAGCTTGGAAAATGAATCATTATATTCAAGAAAAGCTGGTTTTCACCTTAGTGAACCAGTGCATAACCATAAAATATTTTGTGCGTATAACATTAATTTATGTACTGAATGTCCAATTGTAATACCTGAAATATTTGAGTTAGTACCACCAGAGGTTCAGGGGCCAGATTTTGACATTTTTGAGTAGAAAGACAGCTATGTTTTCCAGGAATGATAATTTAAAAACCAAAGTTATCTTGACTCAGGTGCTCCTTGCTGTTGTAAGATATGTTTTGAAAATCATTGAAAAGACCATGTTTAATGCCAGCTTCCCTAAATCTACCAATCTTTGATACATATTTAGTCTCTTTTGGCATTTTATGAAGAAATCAATGTGTAAAGGAACAGAAGCAACAGCATCCTTCTGACTACACTCATGTTTGGCTATATGTCTTCTCTGCATCTCTGCAGTCTATATTAGTATATATTTAGTTTTCTGAATTCCTAGGATTGATGATGTTTGGGGTTTGCCTCGTAATCAGCTGATGATTTCATGCTTCACTCGTCATAGCAGTAAATGGGAAAACTGTCGACTCAGTTTTTGATTTCATCGCATCTGTTGAGACGGGAATGCCCTTGACCAAAGTCAGTTCCAAAACAATTAGCTAGCCCCTTAAAAAGATCATACATACGGTAACTTAATCTACAGTTCTGAGTTGCCTAACAAAAATGATGATTTTGCATTTTTTTATTTGTGGGGAGGGGGGAGCCAAAAAAATGGTGTATTCATGTTGTATTTAAATGATACTAATCACTGCTGGCAGAAATTCTTAATGAGAGAATGATGTGCATCCACTTTTTCCATGAAACGTCATACAACAGCTGTAAAATAAACCAGTTCTGTCCAACCTCTTTGTACTGTATGGTGTAGCTCTTCTATAACTGAAGCTTTGATCTAGCTCTTTCGTCGATCTTTTGACTGCAGGAGTCCAGGTGGAACTACCTGTTTACCTTCCTGGCGTTGCCGGCATTACTCCAGCTCTGTGTGCTGCCCTTCCTCCCGGAGAGTCCTCGCTACCTGCTGATGGAGAGGAGGGATGAGGCTGGAGCAGAAAGAGGTATTGCATTCACTAAAAGAAACATGTGCCTCATCTCACTGACAAACAGGCTGCCACACTAGGCTCTGTTGTCTCAAATACATTTGTGCTTGTTACATTTTAAGAGCAACAGTCACATCCACACACTTCTGGAGAGTGAAAAAAATGATTCTACAGTGGTAAGAGTGTCACTGTACAATTGCACAAAGTACCATAGTATATCTGCAGGGGAATGATAGAATTGTTTAACAAGACCAGAGACTCATGACTTTCCCATTGCGGAGATTTGTGGCTTTTACAGTAGCTTATTTTACCACTGCTCTGTTTTCACAACTGAGCTTCAGTGTACAAAACTCTTAAAGGATGGATTCATAATTATTTCAAAACTGTCTTAAAACAAGAGTCAGGTGCCCTTATGAACACTGAAGTGGTATAATCATTCGCTCAGCTCATATTGGGCATTGTTTTTCAATTCAGTAAAAAGCTAAGGATGCTGCGATCATAGAGTATTGATCACATATTTTTGATGAAAATCAGCTGATCAGGACATTGCTCAATTCTCGGAATACAATTTATTTCAAATATAATAAAAAAAGAAAAATTTTACAATGTCATTTTTCTGATTACTGTCAAAATATTGCAACGTGTCTCTGTTATAATAGTATAAATTGCAGTTTAATGCCATAAAGCAGCATTAAACTTTAGTTTAATAACTTTAGCTGACTGTATTTTAAAGATGTATTTAAATTACCATGGGTATACAAGGCCCTTTAAAGATATAAGTGACTGAAATATCTGAGGTTTAATGTTTTGTATAAAAGCAGTGAAGTACAATCACAATAATAATTTTGAGTTGTATGAATATGGGACTTACTGTAAAGTCAGATTGTACACTAAAACATCCAAAGTTTTCAAATTTACGCCCCAGTTGGACTGGATTTACTGTATGTCTCTAGGGGAGGTGGGATGATTTTAATCCCATCCGGAGCATGTATCAGGGTGATTTTTCACTCCCACCTCAGTAATAATTACAACCACAATTCCCTGCTGTTTTTCGGTGAACTCGCTGGTCCCTCTGTAATCGAAATTCTGCCCAGAGTGACGTACTTGTATTTAAAAGTAGATCTTGAGTTCTTGTCCTTCTACTTTTTTCCCTTTTTTATTTATCAGCTCAGTGTGAAACCAGACTTTTGTTTGAAAATGGAGTGAGTCAAAAATGATTTTGCTGCCTATACTTCTGTACATTTTGAAAAATGGCTCAATTAAAAATATACTAAGCTGTCAGTCGATGACTTTGATGGTGAAGAAAACTTAAAAACTTGATGATTGTTGGAAAACTTTTGAAGCGTCTTTTATTTTATGATTTCTAAGTGGATTTATGGATGTATGTATGTATATTCTATGTACATATATGTTTCATGTCTGTTCGTTAATATTTGACGGAATTATGGCCCCAGGAAGGGAATGAGCCAAAGCAATTATGCCATGACCCATACCTTGTTTTCCAACTCCTTTCAACCCTTCACTTTGCAGCTGCTTAGCCCAGCATCAATGTAACCTATGTGAATCAATTTAGGCCTGTTCTCCCAACTCTCAACTAATGTATATACATTCTCATCAACATTTTTAAATTTCAGAGACTTTATATGAATAACCATAGTGTGGTCTTGTCAAATGTTAAAAAGCGAAGACATAAAACAGCATGGGGTAGAGGCATACCTCAAAGTGCATCTGTTAACGAAGCATGTAGCAAAATGTGATGTCAGATATGACTTTGATCAGTTTTCTCTCTGGGGTGTTTTGAGCTCTTTGATGTCTATGTCCATACATTATAGATGGGTACTCTCTGAAGGATTAGTTCTTGTGTTCTATGTAGAATGGAACATCCTGTTTGTTTCTTTTGAGCTCAAAGTTCAGCGAGGTCTCAGTGTCACAGAACTTTAGATGAAGCAGTACTATTCATTCTGTCCCTATACTGATTTTAACAAATAATCTGGACGGTTGGGTTTGCGTCACTTCTTTCACTTTTACTGAAAATTATATATCCAAAACACATTATACATGTAACATAGACTGGCTTGTCGACAATCAAACTGCATTAACAAAGAGAGAAATCATTCAGGGTCTGATTACAAGGCATTTAAATGTAGTTGATGAAATTGCCAGCACTGCACATGGTACAGTATGTGTGACTTTATGATAGCTCGGTGGCATCTGCTCACCTGTCTCATTCATTTGAAGATAATAACCTATTAACAATACCTGATAGAAACCTAACATGATATCAAGAAGAATACATTATGCTTACACCACAGGTGTCCCCTATAGAGCAGAATCTTCTTTAAATCAGATTTTGGCACAACGTACACCAGCAGGAATGAATGAGGACCAACTCCTTTTGCTTTGAATTGCTTGAGGGAAATCTCTCCATAGGAAATTGGATCAAATGTACAGTAGAGGCAGAAGTTATTTTATATCTTACAAACAAACGCAAGAGCTAAAGGATAAGTCTTAAAGAGCTCCCACTAGTTATTCTGGGCAAGAAAGGATGTTTTAGAAATCATGAAAAATGTTTTCTGACACATTTAATCTGGCATGGCATCGTCACTATGTACATCTACAATTGATCATGGCAGAGTTACTGCATGTTTATTTTGCTTGGCAGCTCAAAAACAGCATCAGAAACATTAAATAATTTCCCATTATGTCCTATTTATGTTGTGTTCTATTAACATGTGACCTGTTTCTGGTGATCTTATCTGGATAAGGAACATCTTATCTGGAGAGATAGATCACTTTATTAATCTCAAAGGGAACTGGCAGTGTTTCACACACCACTTCACATAAATCACAAAAACAACGAGGATGTAGCAAACAATACAATTAAAAAATATACAATTTTATAAGGATAGAATGACAAAATGACAAAAGAAAAACCATTGAGACTAGGTAATGTATCTAGATATAGATCACATAAATGGGGCCTTATTATCCACACTAAACTAGTGTCCCATAGCCAGACCAATCACCACAGCCAGATGTTTCTGAAGTCTTGGCAAAGTTTAATTCGGCATGCTTTTTTAATTTGTCTTTTTTAATTCTTTTTTTCCCATTTATTAACCTGGTTTAGCATTCTAACTGAGGAAAAAGAGGAAAACGTGTCTCAGTTTTTGCAGGATCATTATACACTGATTTTCTCAAAGTAATCTTACTCCTTGTTTTAGACATTATAAGTCTTCCAAGTCCAACTCCAAAGTGCTATTGTTGGAGTCCTAGATGTACTGATGAGATGCTTGACAACTAAAGTCATGTTACTGTGATTTTGAACAAACAAGCATTTTTATAGGATGATTGCTCTTTTCCTATCTTCAGAGACACAGTTCAGTTTTAGTTATTATGAAAGTGTTGCAGACTTTTCTTTTTCTTTATTTATTTTTTTATGATGAATGTCTGTTATAGTGTCTCTTTGGAAACTATAATTCTAATTTTATTCATGGCTGTTAGTCGTCAAACTTTATTGTTAGAGCTGTTGGAATTCAAGGACGGTATTTGTACTTCTCTTGATGGAACACTTATTTTTAGCTCACTTTCTCTTTTTGCCATCTGTCTTTGTTCTGCTCTCATCAAATAAATAATTCCAACCTTGAGTCTGTTCAGCAAAGTAGATTCAAGAAAATGTGTTTTTTCTTCTCTTTCTTTTTAACTGGCACAAAACGACAATAAGAGAAGCGAGCAAGTAGAGAACTTTATTAATCAATCAAGTAATAACAAACGTCAGCATGGTGAGTTAAAACAGTTGGTGGACATATTAAGGTATCTTATCAGGTATCAGTTTATGCTGAATTTTGATTCTAGTTAATGGCAGCTGCTGTGTTGTGGTAATATAGGGTTGGAAAAATGTGTCTGGTGCTTCATGCCAGCATTAGACAAGTGGTCACAATGACTGGCCGTGTGAATAGCTCCCTGAGATTGAGATGAGAGGTTGGTTAAAGGACATCCCGCCTAAACTCCCCTCACATTTTCCCGATGACATTTTGCTGGCACGAGTCTGACCAGCGCTGCAGATCCATGTTGCTGGCTTGTGTTACAGCACTGCGGTGGGGGGAATTGTTGTCAACACACAAATCTTGAGGGGTGGCACTGCAGTGTCCAATTATCATCATATAGTGTCAGACGGGAACAGCATGTTCTCTTGCACCCCATCTTGTCTCATGTCATGTCGAATATCTGCAGCAGTCCTGCCCTCCATTTAAAGGTTACAGAGGTTGAGGATGAAACGAGTTTGTGTACTAAAGGCTGTCAGTGTGATTGCAAAACTGCTCTTAATTTTAGTGTTGCCTCCACAGTATTTGGGATTTCTGAGTTTATCTCCCTTTTTAGTTCTGAGCTTACCAATGACTACAAAGCATACATTTACTTTTAACCATGCCACGACTAGAACTATATACTAAAAAAATATGACATGAAGTCTCATCTTCTCAGCACACTAATCCAATCATAAGTCATCGTGCATTACACTGTGTGCTTGCTTCTTTTGTTTTTCTCTTCTCTCTATATTTGTAGGTAGGCAGGGTATCAAGGTTACTGGTCTCTGACTTAGAGTAAGGCGTGGGATTGAATCCACAAGTTTTACTACTTTTTTGGCTGGCAGTTTCTGTATGGTTTCAAACTCCCTATGAATAAATGTTCTTTTTCTTTTTTCTTTCTCACTTATTTTGCTATCACTCCCATTTTTGCCCCATCAAATTACCCTACCGTTGCTATGTTATCCTTTCTACATGTTTGTTGCTCTGGACATTAGCATTTCAGCCAAGCTAAATGAAAGAGGCTGGAGATATTCTATATTTTTGTTATTGCTAACAAATCCCATGAAAAGACAAAAACCAACAACCAATTTTGCAATGAACATGGGCACTGCTGTTTGCTTTGATTCAATCAAAACGCACCATTCAGAGCACCAAAATGTGTATCAATCCCCAAGTGAAAATTTTCCCCAACAAATGCACTATTTAATCTTGCATGGGTAACATTTATGAAAAGCGACACTGCCCAGCTGATACAGAAAATTGCTGGAAATGACTAACCCTTTTTTCAAAAATGAAAATATACATTTGTGATAAAAGATGTACATTTATATCTTCATTGGGAAATAGTGGGTCTGTAGCTGAGTGCCACAGGCATGATATGGAAATTGATGGTTTTGGTCTAAAGACACCACCATTATCCAAAAATGCCTCCACATTAAGTGTCTAGCCAGTCACTTTCAGAGCTTCTGTCAGTCCGACGGTCAGGCTGTATGGTCCTTTAAAGGTTCTTTGTTCCGCCACATCCCTCCACCTTGTGGCACTGCGAGGGCTTAGGCTACCACAGCGACATGGAAAGGAGCCTCACAGTTCTCCTGCAGGGAAAATAAAATAGGTTTCCTCCGTGGGGACAATGTCGCTGTTCCAGAGCCCATATTCTTACACACATCAATATCATGTCACACCAGTGACATTGACAGCCTCAGTATGAGTCTGGATTAAAGCAGGTTTCCATATTTTCTGCCGGCAGGGAGAGGCAAAAGAATAGTCATTTACATGTGCTAATCTGTGTACTAATTACCTAGAGGTAAGATGTCACTGATTGGTGGGGGGTAACTTTTTCAGATTACAGAAGATCACTCTAGCGAAAGGGGTGTTTTCTCTCTCCTGTCCATTGTATTATGATTTTTTTGTGCCATTTTCATTGTTGCTTGATGCTTGTAAAATAAAATAAATATACATTTAGGAAATTATAAAACCAAACCAAGCGTTAAGGTGAACCCTATGGTGGCCTTCAGGTAATGTAAAAATGCAAAACGCCCTCTCTTAAAGCCAGTTTTTGGTTTGTCCACTCTGGGCTACAGTAGAAACATGGCGGTGCAACATAGCGGCTGCCGTTGAAAAGGACCAGCTCCCTATGCAGATATGAAAGGCTCATTCTAAACTAATGACAACACAATGATTCTTAGTTTCAAGTGATTATCCACTAATGAAAACATAATTATAATATTATATAAAAGACTTAAGGGATGAAAACTAAGTGGATGTTTTTGCAAATGCACATCTGGTTAACCGAGCCATTTGTGTGTATTTGTGTGGTAAATGGTAACTGTGAATTGGTCACATTACATGGGTTAGCTAGCTAGCTAACACATAGCTAACATTAGCACTTGTTCAAGCAGACGTCTGCCAAACCAAGACAATGTTAGCTAAAAGTTAACGTTAACCCAACCCAGTTTGAGAGTTCCAGGTGAACTTGGGGAAGCCGCTGCTGTAAGTGTGCGGTCAGAAGCTTCTGAGTGGACAGTGGGTCAGGAGGACACACTTTTCTTCTCAGTGTCAACACAACTTTTTTGAATGACTTTGCTCATTGTTTCAGTACCAAAGTTTCAGTTTTTTTTTTTCAGTTTTGTTTTCAAAGCCAAATTTTATTTTCCAAAATCTAAAGTCACCGTCCAGGCTCTGTATGCCACTCTTTAGTTTTAGTTATTTGCTTCCGAATACACTGCGTAAATATCAATTAATGAGAATTTTTATTTTTAATTGGGTTTTAGCACAGACCCCATTCAAATCCTGTTCACAGCTTAAACAGCTGTGTTTGTACCCACACACTAAACACATGTACACATACATGTACACACACACACACACACACATACACACGCACACACACACACGCACACACACGCACACACACAGTCTTCATGCCTTACAAATGTTGCACCATGCAGCCCTAGAGACCATGGACCAGGCTTTAATTTGGCAGTTCTGTCTGTCTCCTGTATGGTAACAGTCCACAGTGTGTGCCATCCAACTCCCACATAATGACCTGTTTTCAGCAGTCCCTGTCGGTGTGAAGAGATTTGCTTTTCTGGGTCGTGTCCTTAACCTGTACCCACCTCGACTTCCCATAACACCAGGGATTCAACTTTACAGGAGAAGGGATTAAAGTGAGGAAAGAAATGTCTTAACACCCACTTATTCCCTCAGGTACATCACATTCAATTGGTCCAAGTTCAAACATTGTTCAGCTGGCCAGGTGGCAGATAACAGCTAAAAGCCTAGTTAGCTGTGCACACATAAATCTAAACTGTGTGTGCATTTCTGATTTAAAGGTTTGTCGGGCCTTGTGACTGAGAGAAGAATACAACATTAGTCAATTGACAAGGTCTGTCTATCTGACTATTTATCTACTGTTTAAAGTGAATGACCTAAAAATGGATGCTATGGATTCCTGTAATTTATTTGTGTTTGTGACCAATACAATGGTTCAAGGTTTGTCTGCATTAAGCTGAAGGGGCAACAGTATAATAGAACATTTCACATCCTTAAGTGACAGTGGTTGTCAGACAGAGAGGGCGAGTAATATTGTGTTGATGAATTGTGTATCCCAGAGGAACCATTTACAGTGAGAACATGACAGGACCAGAATGTAGCCTCAGGGTATGCCACAGATCATTTAGACTACAGTTCAAAGGTACCCTGTGGAATTGTCTTGTCAACAAACACAGTTACATACGTTGTTCTCATCAACACACATTGCGTGTGTTCTTGAGGGCTAACAGATGTGTAGAATGCATTTCTGTCCACAGTGAACATTTTTAAAGCCAGTTTGTCTTTCAATAATTCAAAACGTCATCAAAATGCTGCTAATTAGCAGTTTTACTAGTTAATAACATTTAACTTGTAACAGAGCTATTTTTTTTTAAATAATGAGAACATAAAAGGTGAGATTAAACGCAGCCGATATTTTACTCGCTAATGTTCTGTTTAAGAAAGATCTACATTTAAACAGGTCCTACAATTTCCCAGTGGCCTGAGGGTCGTTTTGTCCTGTGCTGTGACCAGGGATTATATAACAAGCGGGAACAAGTTGATTGACCTCTTGCATCACCTCACCTGTGTATGACGGCTACCTCACTGAACTGCTTCGGCTCGCAGTGTGTCTCCACAGTGTTGCTGCTGCGTGGCTGCTACTGGCAGTACTATCTTTCTACACTCAGTTTGCTTTTGATAATGGCCATCAATAACAATAATCATCCATAGTTGATAAGCGGTCTGAAAAGGGAATACATGTAACCAGAAAGCAGTCACATGATTTTTTGAGAGAGAGAGAGCGAGCGAGCAAGCACTGGAAAACTAGTGCCCTTCACCTAATGTTTTATTAACTTATGAACATAATATAATTTTAGCCTGCATGGGGTTTGTCCTATGACTGTATAGTGCACATGTAACCTCCACTTTCTCCTGTAATAACATAAAAATTGCTAAAATGCTTTAAAACATATTTATAATAAAACATATTTTTTCTTATATTTGTTAGTCAGGCACAATTTTTTTGTATCTTGTAATCTGGATAACTTTCCTCCCAGATGAACACAGCGGCCAAATCACATCAAATTACATCAACAAATAGGGTTTGCCTACAAATTAGTGGTCTGATGGTTTGGATGAGGAGGATGGCCTGAATTATTGTTTCAGTTCACATCTGTCTAAGTGGGTGTAACAAGTTGATCCAGTTGTGCGTAGGTTTCTCCGTTTGCATTGAAATGAATCCTCAAGTCCTCTGATTTCAGCATAATTGTTGTAAATATTTTCAACCCAGTGTTTGTGTGTGTGTGTGTGTTTGTGTGTCAGCCTTCCAGAGGTTTTTGGGGAAGACGGATGTGTCTGAGGAGCTGGAAGAAGTCCACGCAGAGGCTCGAGCTCAGGACAACCTACACACCGTCTCCGTGTTACAGCTGCTGAAGGGCCCGGCTGTTCGTTGGCAGCTCATCACCATCATCGTCACCATGGCGTGCTATCAGCTCTGTGGCCTCAACGCTGTAAGCTACAGCTCATATTTCACTTTTGTCTGATTTTCACTGGAATCCTGTTCCTTATTTTATCTTACAGGACACTTGATTTAAAAAAAGGGGGGGGGATTATTGGATTTTAAAAGTACTTTTAATACCATTTCTAGTGCAAACATTGTCTGTATCAGCTAGAGAAGATGAAGGTGAAGATGCTCTGTCACACCTGCAGTTACACCTCAATTAGTTTTGGGCCTTGGTGGACAGTGCAGTGACAGGAAGGTGAAAAGTGTTTCCTCTCCTACCCGAGAGACTCAAAGAGTAATTCTTTTGCCTTCTTATCAAACCATGCAGAACATGCCCAGTTCATTGTTTCCTTGATGTTAGGAAGTGCTATCTTAATTAGGGGATCAGTGCAATATACTTAAAGCGGCATTGTTTGATGTTTTTGGACACATGGGGATAGCAAGCCAAGTTGAAAACACAGAACTGGCATGTTGTTACCTTACAGAGTATCTAAGGTGAATGCGTGTTTATACATCCAGATGGAGCAACTTTAGCATTTATCCGGAGTCGACAAATACAAGTCCAATATTCATTCTTCTTTGAGCTCTGTTTTGGTCTTCACAAACTCCTGAGAGCAATATTGCCGACTATCCATCTGTCTGCCATTTAATGCAGGGCAAGTGGTGAACAGCGTGTTTATCAGTGCCTTATCAATAAGCTGGAAAATGCTCACAATGGGTATTTGAGCAATCATTCACATACATTTTCTTACATGCAGCTTTAATGTTTAGCCCGGTCAACCCCTCATTAGAGCTGCAATTTTGGTTAAGTCAAACACTTATTGTTACGGTGTCACATATAAAGCTTTGTATCAATCAACCATTATAAGGCTTTTGTTGAGACACAACTGCAGTTTCATGTAGCCTTAGTCATAATGACACATGACTCCTACTTCCTTGGTGCTATAATATACTGTAAGTCTGTAGCTATTTCTAGATATTTTAATGTAAGCAAAAGCATTTCTAACATTTCTTTAACAATCATAAGCTACTGTTTGTGGGGCTGCTGGCCACATAATACAGGGCGGGTGGTTAACTGCTTAACCACTGGGGTGTGCTGTCCTATCGCAGCCCTGACGGTGACAAAAAAATACAAAAAAAACAATATTATCACAGCCCTGCTTGTCAGTGGACCAGGTGTGGCGGCAAATTGCAAACAGTGTCCCTGGGGGCCTGGGCATTCACAGGTGTGACCCCCATATTTGTAGTTACTTAGAAATAAGGTCTCTTTTATTTGCAAAGTTTTAAATTGTATTCTGCACAAGTGAATATGTTTCCATCTGCTTTTTTGTTATAAATATATCTTTTCTTCTTAGGGTCATGCTCAAAATTACTGTGTATGAGAACCTGTGGGCATGGAAAGTCACTGTGAGTCACTCTGTCCTGTGCACTTTGTAGACAGAATGAGATGTTTAACCATCCTCCACCCGCTGTGTTGCAGTGGGTAATGACTGAAATGTCTGTCTCTGGACCTATAGGTGCCAAAAATACCCCTACATGAGGTGATACGATGGAAGAAAACAGTGCAGGGAAGACAGCTAGCCAGTGAGTGGCATATTTTCAGCATGTGTTGTGCCCACACAGTTTGTCAAGGAATGTCACTTCACTTGAGATTATTACCATAACAGATGAACGGCTGCCAGGTTTTAAAAACTTTATTAAAAGAATCAACCATCTGGTTGTATAAGCAGCAAATACTACAGCATCTTGTCTGTGATTGGGAAGGTTCTCTTCATCACTCACTACACCAAGCAGTGCAGTAGATAGATAGATAGATACTTTATTTATCCCCTAGGGTAAATTCATGTGTCCATTAGCTCATTGTTGATATAAAATTAATAGTTAATAATAAAGTTAATATAAATAAACAATAATGATTAGATTGGTCCACTTCCTTTGGCTGAGGTGTTGTATAGCCTGATGGCAGTGGGAACAAAGGATCTCCTGAACCACTCTGTTCTGCAGCGCAGTGAGATGAGATGTTTGCTGCAGCTGTAGCTGCTTCTCTTCCTGCTAGATTGTTGTGGAGAGGATGGTTGGTATTGTCCAAGATGGCCTCCATCTTACATTGCATGTGTCTCTCCAGAACAATCCTGAGTGAGTCCAGACTCCTGCCAAGCACAGACTCAGCGTTTTTTACCAGCTTGTCCAGTTTCTTTGTGTTCATGTCAGACATGCTGCTGCCCCAGCAGACTGCAGCATATAAGAGTACACTGTCCACCACTGACTGATAAAACATGTGCAGCATTTCATTGCAGACGTCAAAGGACCTGAGCTATAGAGACAGTAAAGGAGGAGTGGCTCAAAGGTTGTCCAGAGACCTCTCAGAGAGATTTAAAAATACCTGTCCAGTACTTGTTAAGTGAAGAACAGGACAAAGGAGTGAATAAGAGACCCAGTCTGGATTCAGCCTCTTGCCCATAGGGGACTCACCCCAGGATCCATCTTAGAAAATTTCTCTTCAGAAAGGTGAAGGAGTTTAAACTGTAGAAACCTGTATCTCACACAATCTGAAGTTAGAATTGAGTTTGGTGTGTTCTCGTCTATCTTAACTTGGATCTCCACCTCCCACAGATCCTTGATTACTTCTATAGAGGTTTCTGATTCTTATTAGTTTATATAAGCCAGTAAAAACACCATTATCACAGGGATATATAGTGAGGTTATCATCCAAGGTGGTATTGCTCAGTAAAGAAGGAAACTGCGGTAAACTAGACCTGATAAAATCCCTAATTTGTAAGTAAACATTATAATTGAGGATTGGAAAGATTATGTCTTTCTTGCAGATGAGCAAATGAGGCAAAGACACAGTCAGTATAGACGACTCAATGCCTTTAGCCTTCCACAGTTTTTGTTGTGGTAGGTAATAGCTGGCTCTTATCTAAAGGAGAAAAAAGAGACATAGCTACCTGCTCACATTTTTTAAGAATTAAATAGGAGAATATATTTTTCCCTTGGCGGGATAAAGGCAAGGGCAAGGATGATGTGAGGAGAGCAGATGGAGAGGAACTTTTAGTGAATGAAGCCCCAATATTGACCCATGGTTGGCTCTCCTCGTTTGAGATTCAAAGAGGCAGAGCCATCCCTCCCCTTTGTCTTGATCTTTGTGAGAAAGTTTTGTTGATTGTTAGTGGCTTATCGTTCCAGATAAATGTTGTGATGAGGAAAAAAATGTCTTAATCAGAATCATGATACTGTACATTGAAAAATGTATACAGAGTTATTCAAGTTGACCCGACCTGCCAAGGACAGAAGGAACGTATTCCATCTTTCAAAATCCTTCTTAACTGATCGTAAAACATTATTAAAGTTTAGATTTCAACATACATTTTATGAAATTATTTTAAATGCCTACAAGCTTTAAAGCCAGCAAGATGGCCTGAATGTCTGTAATGAAACATAGGGTGTATAAAATTGTATGTTGTTCATGCAGATTTATGTGTAAAACAGATAAAAGACGAGTGAAATTTGGTTTATTTTCTCGCAGATCTGGTATTACACCAACGGGATCCTTCGGGAAGCAGGCTTTGCCGAGAACATCCTCCCCTACATCACACTGAGCACCGGGGCTATAGAGACATTGGCTGCCATTATCTCAGTAAGTATTGCCACTTTAAATCAACCAAACATGTCAGGTTTCTGCACTGGTCTGCTCTTGGAATAAATATTCACAAGATAGATTTTGTTTTACCTCAGAGGTGGTCTTTACATTTTGGTCATTAAAACCCTCATCTATCTTCAAATACAAAAATCTGTAATGTTTGTGTTAAAGTTTAGTCTCCAAAAATTTTCACAAATGGACCAGTTGAAAAAGCTAAGATCTGACCTGTGCAAACAAAGACATTTTTAGTTCAGCTGTAATCCTGCTGCTCTTCACCAAAGTTGGTTGGTGTCGAGGAACCTTGCAAATGAAAGCTGCTCAAACAGCAGGAGTCCTTCCCTGCTCTGGCAGCTGATCTGCCACTAAATGACTGAGCAGAGAGCTCTTTGCACCACCAGTGGAGTAATTAGCTAGTGGAAGTATCTCTGTTGGCAGCTTGTTAGGCAGACACTGTAGTATTTACACCTGAGCATTATGTGATGATTGACGTGCACTGATCACTCAACACAACACACTACATGTTGTACAAGCCATGTACAACATGTACCCAAGAGATGACTCCTGTTGCAGTCTGCAGATATCTTACCTTGCGCGATGAAGCACGGGTATGATGTTGAAGTGTATTTATTTTGATTTCCATCACAGTTTCTCTTCTGTGAGATTATGGTTAATTGCAGCTTTGACATACACACAGATTGTTAAAATGTGAGAAAGAAAAACATCAAATCCTTAACCAGGCAGACTGAGATGGTGAGATAGGAGATTCCGCAGCAAGTTTTGCTGGATGTAGAGACTATGTGTTGTATTGACACCAAGGTACCTGAAACCTGAACTGGCTAAATGAAAAGGTACAGAAGTCTGTTGAATTTGACACACCAAATTGTTTATTGGGTACAGCTCATTCTTTCGAAAGCTTGATCAGTATCGTGAGAATAAACTAAATTCCACTTGATTTAGATTTAATCGTAGGAAAGGTTGCCACTGGGTCATTCACATATAACAAAAGGTCATCTGTGTACAGTAACACCTGACGTTTAATCCCACCTCACCATATGCCCTGTAAAAGTGGACATGTAATGCAATGCAATGGACAGTGGTTCTATTGCAACTGCAAAGAGTACGGATGGCAATGGGCATCCTTGATGTGTGCCCCTTGTTCATGAAAAAAATGGTGTACATAATGAGTTGGTACTAACACACACTTACAGAGATGAGTATAAGAGTCATCTCAGAGATCATCCAGGAGCCAGATTTATCACCGAGACCCAATTTTTTGAAGGAGCTCAAAGAAATACTCCCACTCAGTTTGGTCAAAGGACTTCTCGGCGTCTAATGAGATGACTGCCTCAGGGACCAGTGTAGAGTGTGAGTTGCATTGAGGAGCCTGTGAATGTTGGAAAATGAGTAATGTGCTTTTATAAAAACCAGTTTGGTCTTTAGAAATAATGAAAGGCATAGTTTTCAAAAGTCTGCATTTTTTTGTGAATTATTTTTGCATCTACAATAAGAAGTGATATTAGCTGATAGGATCCATAATCAGCAGAGTCTCTGTTCTTCTTGAGCAAAAGTGTAATAGTTGCTTATGAAGGAAAATCATCATCAGCCCCCTGAAAAAATTCATAAGAGAATTGGAGAATGCTGTCCTGTAGTCTTGCCACCCTGGATAGAGGTAATTGCCACGTGAATCTCTTTAGATCTATCATTGATTTAGTTCAGCAATTTCATCTGATTCAAAACAGGACACATTTAAGCTGTCTAAAAAAAATGTTATTAGCCCTTGATTTGAAGTAAATTCAGGGGAAAACATTTTAGTCTAATAGGATTCAAAGATCTTTTTAATTTCCTGTGGACTTGTTACCAAGTTACCATGACACTCTTTAAATTCAGGAATTAGTTGTGAAGCTGCCTCTCACTTTAGCTGATGTTCTAGTAGCCAACAGTTCTTGTGCCATACCTATATGACAGACCACAAGAAAAAAACTGTAGCTGTTCCATTTTTTTTTTTAGATAATAAATTCAACTTTAAGGTAACTTGCTGGTATTCCCTTTTTGAAAAAAAAGCTGAATAAATAGATTTTTTGGCGATTTGTGGTCAGGGTAACAAACTGTAAACGCAAAATTCACTTATTACCCCTTAATGGCATCGAGCTGGCTAACATTTTAGCAAACAATTACATATTCACACATCCAACTGACACAGAGCAGCTTTAACACTGATGTTTCAGGCAACCTGACCAATCAAAGTACAATATTCTCTCATCTTTTAGTTTAGGTGTCCACCAACTTCTAAGAAAAAATATTCATATAGACTCTTAAGCTGCTAAATGTGTTCACCAGCCAGTCACTAACTTTGTCTTTCTGCTGTTTGTGGCTGGGCAGCTTGAATTCAGTGAGTTCATCAGAGCTTTCTGGTTGACAACAGCTTCTTGCTTCTGAAACCAATGCTGATGAGAGCAGCGACAAGGAACCAAAATGGCTGTGGGTTGTAAAACCAAAACAATGAGCTGAAAGATGCAATAAAGCTCCATAGAGCTAAAGAAGAAGTGTAAGGTGATAATTCTGTCTTGATTTTTCACTACGAGGGACCCCTTTCATATAACACATAGTCATATGACCAATTGTTTATCTAAACATATCAAGTAGAGCAGCTTTAACCTCAGCTGCTAATTATAGATTTTCAGTATTTTGGAGACTTGCCTTCTGGCATTTTCATATCCCTTCCACCTCTGCATGACTCCTTGCAGCTAATTACAAAGAACAACACAATGGATTTATGCTGTTCTCTCATCGTGTTCCAAAATACATCTAAAATGAATCTGTCACTTTTTAATTTGTTGTGGATCTAATTTCCCTAATCCTGTGTTCTTGAGATATAGTGGTACACCAAACAGAAATAAACTTAAGGCAGTTTTACTGAGTACATTCTCCACAAGGGCCAATAATTTACCAGTTTAATAACACATCTATGTGTCAGGCAGAGTTTCTGTGCACCAAGCGTTACTTTTCCAACAAGATAGAAAATGCAGTGAGGAACACAGCCACCTCCCTCCTCATTTAATTAGTGTGTTAAAGCCCTGTTTGTGGCTGCTATCTATTTTTGTGATTCTTCTCAGCATGAGCACATTTAAGTCTTTGATCTGGAGGCTGACATCTTTTTGAGATTCCCACGGGAATCTTGTGGAAATCCTGCTGGTGAAAACGGAGGGTGTTAAGCTGGGATGGGATGAAATGAGAGTCAGTTTCACTATTCACCACATGGCTAGAACCAGATAGGAAAAACCAGGAGCGGGCGAAGGCTATTTTCTTTATTTTCAACATAATGTCAGTCGTCAAGAAGAGTCAAGTCAATCTTAGTATAGTGCAAATTCACAACACAAGTTATCTCAAGGTGCTTTCCAAATAGAGCAGGTGTAGACCTTCTCTTTATAATATTATTTACAGAGACCCAACAATTCCCATCAAGAGCAAGTGCTAGGTGACAAGGAAAAACTTCCTTTTAAGAGGCAGAAACCTCGAGCAGAACCGGACTCAGGGAGGGCGGCCATCTGCCTCGACCGGCCTCGTTCTTTTGTCTTTTTTTTCTTTTTTCATTCTCTCCTGTCTGCTCTGGTGGCTGGTTGCTGGTTGGCTTCAGGCAGCCACCTGACCAGTGCACGACGTGTGGGGATTGACAATGCATGGTGCAGCCACCACAAAAATGCCATTGCCAACAATGGAGTCATAATCGATTGGGGGAAGACAACATAGAATGAAACAGAGTAAAGAACAATGATCCATGTATCACACTGACAGAGCTTTTAGACAAGTCTAAAAAGTTTTAAATGATTCGTAAGTCGAGAGTGGCATGGACGAGATTTTCTTTTTAATTCTGTCATGTTATTGGGATGGGGCAGAAGTATTTTTGTGGGAGTGGGATGGGACAGGAGTGAAAATCCACTCCTGTGTTTCCCTCTACTTTGATCTGCGGCAGGTAGAAGACTGCACAGAGTGACTTATCTGCAGGTGACTCACTTCAAACACCAGCATGTAGCCTTCAGATATGAGTTTTCCCTGCAGCCCCACAGTATCTCCGCATCAGCCACAGTCAATTCAACAACCTTCTCATATTCTGATAATAATGAGCTACTGGCTCTTTGACTGACGTACACCACAAAGACAGAAATTATCAAAATTAAACTCTCATATTCACTGATTCTAGAACTTTTTTAATCAAACAAATTACTTGGCAGTACTGTTAATTTTTAGTACGTCAGATGCCACATAGTTTATGACCAACTTTATTTTTTTGTTCACGGTGATGTTCTGCTTTTTATCTAGCAAACACAATATTATGACCATAACTTGTACATGGTTTGCATTGTAACAATATCTCAGCCACTGCCAGGAAAAAGCAAACACACACAAGAGAGAATTTCCATTGGGAAAAAACGGAACATTTGACATCTCTCTTTTTGAGAGCAACTTCAAGATTTTTGCAGACCTGTGTTAATATTTCATTAACACACGTCAACAGATACCATTTGTATGAGCCTCATGTTCACAATCAGGGACACTTTGACATCCAATGAGGAAGCTTAATTTGATGTGTGGCTTCAGGAGCTTCAAATATTTATGTTAAAACTTTTTTTTTTTTTTTTTACATAAGTGACAAACATTTCAAAGGTGAGTTTTAATCCCTAAATCCTGTGATATGTGCTTCCTAATATAAAAAATGACTACATTAGCGGTGCCTTTCCAACACACAAAAAATAATTTGACATGTTTTGCAGGGACTTTACATATTCCAGATTTAAGGAGGAGAAGAAATAGCTGTCACAGAAAGCTCAGTGTGCAGGGTCACCTCCCTGTAAACACACACATGAAAATCTGTAAGGAAAGATTCTGCAGTTTGGTGTTAATGAGTTTTGGGAGTATCCAGGAATCGGGTGCACTCAGAAGACACCACCTTTCCTCATATTGCTCTACAGGGAAATTAAGATTTGCTCTGTGATTGCAGA